CCCCGCCATAGCCTAATATAGAATAGCTTTTGTAATAAATTAAATGATTGAATTAAAAATTGACTAAATAAAAAATAGTGATATTTTTGAAAGTTTGTAGGGGTACGGACAAAATGACATGGTGTGGACAAGTTGACACACTGGCCTAATAATATGAGATAATAACTAGTTGGTTTGGTATTTAGCTTTGAGGCAAGTTACATGAACTTCCCGATATGTGTAAATAATCGACTTAATCAATAAAAAATAAATTCATTTATGATTCCGAGTGGATTTATTACACATAATTAACAGCGAACGAACACGTTGACTCGAATTTTCTGAAAGCAAATTTTCACAAATCAATACTTTTTATAATTGAACCAGTTTCTGTAGGACTTTAATGGTTTAGTATGTTCATTAGGACCAAATACTCTATCGTTATACCAAGTAAATCGTCTAATTTTGATTTTAACAAACGTCAAAAGACTACTCATTTTCTCAAACTTTGATTAATTTTTAAAATTAAACTACTTGTCATAAGGCCGTGATATTTTCAGAAAGTTTTATAAGACCATGATATATATCACCAAAAAAAGTTCCATAAAAATCCGTATAAATTTTTTTTTTCAACAGTTAATTACAAGAAAACGGCTCGGTAGATTTTCACCTAAAACTAATCAGTACCATTCTCAACTAACATCTTTCGAACAGTTTTTGATTTTTTAAAATCGATTCGGTAGTTTGAACTTAAATGTGGATGAAAAGTTTAACACTTTTTTTCAAATTACAAAGAAACGGATCGGCAGATTGTCTCACAAAACTGATAAAGTATAGTCCGCATTGAGATACATCTAATGGCTTTTAAATTTATGAAATCGGTTCAGGCGTTTTTGAGAAAACGTCGATCAAAGATTTAATTTCGTCAAATGCCAAAAAAACGATACCAATTTTTGCAAACTTTGACGAATTTTCAAAGTTAGACCAATTGTCGTGGAGCCGTAATATTTTAGTATGATCTACAAGTCTATAGTATCTACCGTTAAAAAAATAATAATTAAAATCGTCGAAAAAAATTTTTTTAACACTTTATTACAAGAAAACGGCCCGGCCGACCTCTACCAACAACTCATCAGCACGATTCACAATCAATATCTTTCGAACGGTTTTTGAATTTTTAAGATCGATTCAGAACTGCGGGCTAAAACGTGGACGAAAAAATTTTCACTTTTCTGCTATTTACAAAGAAACGGCTTGGCTAATCGTCGCGCAAAATTGATAAACGCTAGTCCTCATCGAGATACATCGAATAGCTTTTAAATTTTTGAAATCGGTCCAGCCATTTTTGAAAAAACGTCGATTTACGGCAAAAAATCTGTTCACACACACACACACATACACACACACATACTTTTTCCAAATTTGGTCTCATTCCATTTAGAATGGCTTGAAACGTCGAGAAAACATAAAATTAGCGAATCGGATTTTTTGATGAAAACATAAACTTCTCCTTCGGGAAGTTAATAATGCGACAGTTTCTAGAATCTTATTTATCGTTATTTGTTTCTATTAGAACCAATAAATATGAACTTTATTACAATTATCGGGTGTTTCTGTGTTTGATGTACTCGTAATTTGAATTGCTCAGTAAAATTTTATTTACTTACGGACAAAATTACAAATTATTCTCAAAGCAGTGAGGGCTTGAATCTTTCTGTTTGTGGATGTACCGTGAAATGTCAGATTTATTATTTAAAGTGGCGGGAAAGAGCAAAATTATTTAAAGTCATCAAATTTACAAAATTTGTCAATAACAGCAATATCTTATAAGAAACACAACATAAACTAATGCAGGACTGCACATTTTAACATCAAAAAAGAAAAATGTTTTTCTACATTCGTGGTAGCGTCCACATTGCACATGCGAGTTCAAACATGAACGAAGAATTCCCTTTGTGTACCGACAAGTTGCGGAACATTGTTCGCCATGTTTGTTTATGTTCGTTCGTGATCGTTGTGGCGTCCACACTATGCTGTTGCCGTTCGTTCTGGTACGTTCTTTTATGTTCGTTCGTGTTCGTTCGTCAGGTGTGGACGCACCTTAACACACGTCTGAAAGAAGGGGTTTTTCCACGAAAATGGAAACAGCAAAGTTTAGTGCTTCTTCCCAAAGGAAAAAAAGCACCAGATGAACCATCATCGTACCGTCCGATATGCATGCTGGATACAGCGGGTAAAATTTTTGAAAGAATAATTCACCAAAGAATAGATGTAGTAGTTGATCCAATCCTAGCAGACAATCAGTATGGTTTTCGTAAAGGGCGATCAACTATTGATGCTATAAACTTGGTTGTTAATACCGCCAAGGAAGCAATTGCTGGAACCAGATGGAAGGGGGATACGAAGAAGTACTGTCTTGTAGCTACATTGGATATAAAAAATGCTTTCAATTCTGCAAACTGGGATTGCATTATGAATGCACTCCGTGAGAAGAACGTGCCAGCATACCTCTGCAATATAGTCGCAAGCTACTTTACAGACAGAATTCTAACAGGAGGTGTGCCGCAGGGTTTTGTTCTAGGCCCTTTGCTGTGGAATATTATGTATGATGGCCTTTTGAGACTAGAGATTCCAGAATGTGTGAAACTAGTAGCATATGCAGACGATGTTGCCATAGTAGTTGTCTCCAAACAAATTGATGAGATCGTAAGTCTATTTGATATAACATTTAGAAAAATTAATCGCTGGATGGGAACAATAAACCTCCAATTAGCACAACAAAAAAGTGAAGCTGTTCTTATCACGAGTAGAAAAACAATAGAGACCATCATGCTAAAGATGGGAAATCTAGAGATCACGTCAAAACCTCACATCTGTTACCTTGCCGTAATACTTGCTCGATTGAATTTCAATCAACAGGTGGAACACGTTAGTGCTAAGGCGTCAATAGTTAAGACGAGACTTGCTCGACTGATGCCTAATGTTGGAGGCCCTAAACAAACCAGAAGGATATTACTATCGTCAGTGGTTACTTCGGTGCTGACATATGGTATCTCCATATGGGCTGATGCTCTCAAATCTCAAAAATCGAGGAGAATGGCAGGACCTATACATCGTCTGAGTGCTTTAAGAGTAGCTTGCGCATTTCGCACAATATCGGAGGAAGCAGTGTGCGTCATTTCAGGAACTCTGTCTCTCTTAGTCTTAGCAGAGGAAAGACGGACAATTTACCATAGAAAACATCAACAACCGAGTCCTGAAAAGTTGAGATTAGAAGAACGGCACAACAGCATTGACCGATGGCAGCACCTGTGGGATGTCGCAGTGAAGGGCAGATGGACGCATCGTCTCATTCCCAACATCAAAGTCTGGCTAAGTCGCAAGCATGGCGAAGTAAATTATTATACTACGCAAATGCATCGAGGCAGGGCTGTTTCCGTGGGGACCAGAGGCAAGGGCAAAGCGGAGGTTTTAGTCGGTATTACACCAGAGCAGTATCGAGTCCGACATACCCAGACAGAAGACCAGTCTGGGATGTATAAAGGCATTTCCTTCGCTATACAAAAAAAACATACACACACATCCTTTTTCTTAGGTATACCAAAATGTTCAGAAACCTTCAAAATATCGATCCATTACCATAACTACCCTACGGGAAGTTAATAAAATTGTTAAATATAATACTATATTAGTTAGCTCTAAGTTAACAGTATAAATTTTATAACATTTTTGGCTTTTCTTTTATTTAAACTATAGTATATAAAGCGATAGTATAATTTTGTGTTATAGTTTGAAGCTTTTGCCAATTCAATAGTTATTGCGTTTTAGTATGATTATTTTGTTTTAAATTACATTTAAATTTTTTTTCAGATAAAGGACGCTGCAATTATCAATGGTGTGATGGCTATGGTTTTCTTGCTATTATTTACCTTTTATTTTACTTGGGATTTTTATATTTTATGGTATTTAAACGTTTCGTATGGCCTGCTTTGAGAAAACTATTGACGCCGACTATAGAAGCATATAACAGTTTTACATCTGGAAGGTAAATATAATTATGATATTATATATTATGATATTGAATAAACAAATATTTGAAACTTTGATATATTAAAATTATTAAACTGCATATAAATCTTCAATTAGACATTATATTATAAATATTATAAATAAACATGTATCCTTAATGCAATAAAGTGGTAGCAAAAATACAATGACTCTCTTCGGTTCTTCAACTAGCTCAAGTCATATATATTACAATCCATTTTCAAAAATAATTTTGAATGTAATAGCTATAAATTTAATAATAACCCAAAAAATAGGCATACAATTTAGAAAAATAAATCTAAATCTCTTAAATTTACCATATTTATCAATATTGTTTGATTTAGATTTTATTTGTGTTTCACTGAAATTAATGTTTTATTATATTTTAAGATGTTCAATAATGATATACAAATACGATCGTAACTCGTATTAATTAGGAAATCAGATTTTTTTTATTTTACTTATTTGTAGCATGAAATCCATTTTATGGTAATATTCTTTTGTCAATAATATGGTGCTTGTAATACAATGTACAATAATACAAACAATGGAAATTAGAAAATATTTGGGAAAAATACTGGAGTATTTTTTTGAGTCTAATTAAATAACAGTTATTTAAAGAAATAAAATTAGTGGAATATATATCACAGTTATGAAGCAGACGTCTATATTATTCTGAAACTGAAAAATATATTGACAAGTATAAAAAATAAATGATTTGACTATAACTTTGCGAATTAAAAATATTCTTGAAACGTCGAAATTTATATCATATTTCGTATTCGAGTCAATATAGCACCAAGAGCCGAAAAGAATTAATGATTAAAAATGAATAACTAGCTGTAAGTGGAACTCTGTCTTAAGGCAATTATGGCATCGTGCCTTAAGGCAAATTGCTGGAACTTCCCGTACCAAAAATTATTATTTTTTTAAAAAACGAATAACATTTTTGAAAAAAAATTTCTTCGAAAAAATAAGATTTTTGAGAAACTATAAATTTGACAAAAAATTACTTTTTTTTGAAAAAAAAAAATTATTAAAAAAATTTTTTTGTTAAACCTTTTTTTTTTTGAAAAAAAATGTTTTCTTTATTTTGACATATGTTGGAAGATCTGAACTTTTTTTCTAAGCAATCGTACTGCTTTAAATGCATAGAGACAAAATATAAAGCGCGTAAGCGCCGCGTCGTTGTCTAACGAGTAAACATTGGTACGGAACCCATAGCAATGTAAACAAAATTTATGGTAAAATCTCTATAAAATATCTGATAATTTGATGTGCATATGTCTAATGATCATTTTTGACCGCCAAATGGCATTTTTTTTTACTTTTTTCGTTAGATCTCCGAAACCGCTAAACCTGCCCTTATAAAAATTTGATCAAATCTTCATCTTGTTAATACAAGTAAAATGTTTTTTGAATTATTAAAATCGGACGCTCCGTTCTATTAAAAACTGAGGTACCGATTTTGGCACTTTTTGCCCCATATCTTCGGAACGGCTAGACCTACCTCCGCCACAAACTAATCAGCACGTCTCCTTATCAATACGGATCGAATGTTTTTTAAATTATTCAAATTGCGTCATCCGTGTTCCCGAAATTGTCGACGAAAATTTGTATCCGCACACACATACATACTACGCACACACATACAAACACACACACATACATTTTTTCTAAGGTATGCCAAAATATTTAGAAACCTCAGAAAGATATATAAAAATTTTCATTTTCGATTTTTTTGCGATTACTATAACTTATCCTACGGGAAGTTAACAAGTACATTTTATTTCAATATTTGTTCATTTAACTTAAAAACTAGAATCAAACTGAAAAAACTGGAATATTTTAATAAATGTTTTGCACATCATAATTTAACAACATAATTATGTATAATTATATATCCTTACCCATTCAAACCATTAATTCTGGATAATTGTACTATTTATTTTTAATTATCTTGCATATATGCATATTTTTAGGCGCCTAATTTATGTTATCATATTTAATTTAAATATATATTTATATATATACTAGCTGACCCGGCAAACGTTGTTTTGCCATAAAAATATTTCTAGTACAAAAGGTTTAATATGCCACATAACAATATGCCCAGCAAATTGACTGAGATTGAAAAAAAATGAGAGATCGAAAAATTTTACAGCTTTGCCATAAATTTTAATAGTACCTTATTAAAAACTGTTGCACCTTCAGATTTTAATATTCAATTAAAATTAAAATTTAACTCTTTATTTTTATAAAAAAAATTGCTTTTTAACTTCCCGTGGTGCAAGTTATAGTAATAGCAACAAAAAATCGAAAATGAAGATTTTTATATATCTTTACGTTTCAATGGTTTCTGAATATTTTGGCATACCTTAAAAAAATGGATGTATGTGTGTGTGTGTGTGTGTATGTGTATGTGTGTGTATGCGTGTGTGTGCGTCGACGATTTCGGGAACACCGATTATCCGATTTGAATATTTCAAAAAACATTCGATTCGTATTGATAATGAGACGTGCTGATTAGTTTTTGGCGAAAGCGGGTCAAGCCGTTCCGAAGATACGGGGCAAAAAGTGCCAAAAACGGTAACTCAGTTTTTAAGAGAATGAAGCGTCCGATTTTAGTAATTTAAAAAAACATTTTACTTGTATTAAGGGAATGAACAACTGGTAAAATTTTTGGAAAGGCAGGTCCAGCGGTTATAGACTCTCAATAAAAATAATTAATAGAGATAATTATAGAGATTTTAATATTGTGATAAATATTGTGTACACATTTTGTGTAATTTTTTTTGGGTTCCGTACCAAGACGGAACCCAAATTTTAATTTTTAATTACGGTACTGAAAGTTCCAGCAATTTGCCTTGGCACGATGCCATGCGCTTCACTAGTTAACTTCCCGTAGGGCAAGTTATAGTAATCGCAAAAAAATCGAAAATGAAAATTTTTATATATCTTTACGTTTCAAAGGTTTCTGAACATTTTGGCATACCTTAGAAAAAATGGATGTATGTGTGTGTGTGTGTGTGTGTGTATGTATGTATGTATGTGCGTGTGTGTATGTATGTGCGGATACAAATTTTCGTCGACGATTTCGGGAACACGGATCAACCGATTTGAATAATTCAAAAAACATTCGATTCGTATTGACAAGGATACGTGCTGATTAGTTTTTGACGAAGGCAGGTCTAGCCGTTCCAAAGATAAGGGGCAAAAAGTGCCGAAAACGGTAAATCAGTTTTTAAGAGAACGGAGCATCCGATTTGAATAATTCAAAAAACATTTCACTTGTATTGACAAGATGAAGAATCGATAAAATTTTCATAAAGGTAGATCTAGCGGTTTCGGAGATATGAAGGAAAAAGTAAAAAAATGAGCCATTTGGCGGTCAAAAATGATCATTAGACATATGCACATCAAATTATCAGATATTTTATAGAGATTTTAACAATAAGTATACATTTTGTTAACATTCCTATGGGTTCCGTACCAATGCTTATGCGTTAGACAGTGACGCGGCGCTTACGCGCTTTATATTTTGTCCCTATGCAGTTAAAGCAGTACGATTGCTTTGAAAAGAAAGTTCAGATCTTCCACAATATGTCAAAATAAAAAAAAAAAAATTTTCAAAAAAAAAACAAACAAAAAAATTAAAAAAAAATTTTTTTTTTTTAAAAAATTTTTCAAAAAAAAGTAATTTTTTGTCCAATTTTTAGTTTTTCAAAAATCTTATTTTTTCAAAGTATTTTTTTTTCAAAAATGTTAATCGTTTTTAAAAAAATAATAATTTTTGGTACGGGAAGTTCCAGCAATTTGCCTTAAGGCACGATGTCTTAATTGCCTTAAGACAGAATTCCACTTACAGCTAGTTTTATATATAATTTGAGGCAAAATGACATACTTATATAATAGACAAAATGACGTTGTGCTATTTTACTGGGCAAACAACACATTTTTACTTCTATTACTAAATTACTAAAAACAAACAAAAAGATCCAACGGTATAAAGAATACCGTAGGAAAATACCATATTTTACTGGTAGTCCAACACCAAAGATGAGTAAAAAATGAGAATGTGGTTGTAATATCAATAAATCAATAAATATCATTAAAAAACAAAATACCATGTTGTTCATAATTCCCCTATATCATTTTTGTATATGCATAAGAGTTTATAATATATGACGTTTACTTTTAGATGGGTATATGCGACTATAATATCACTTATTTTGAGCGCGATAATAATTTTTATTATCGCCGACAGTTGGAAAACCCCCGAAAGATTGCAATCATTTTCTGGAATATTTATCATACTTTTTCTTGGATTCTTCTTTTCTAAATATCCTGGGAAGGTTTGTTCATATTAACTTATTTAAAAATTAGTACACATCAAGTGTTTTATAATTGTTATAAATGATAACAACAATAACAGCCATTTAATAATTTTGCAGATTAATTGGAAGCCTGTTTTTGGAGGCATTATTTGCCAGATTGTTCTTGGTATGATCACTATACGTTGGGAGGTAGGCAGAGATATTTTCAGGTATTTTTGTAACTTTTTACATTACAATATAAATTCAATAGATACGTTAGAAAAATATCAGGAAAAACTTCAGTAACAGTTTTTGTTCAAAATATTGAAGTTTTGTTAAAATATTGTAGTTTTCTGCCTTTAACATGGAATTATTTTTAATCTTTTATTGTCAACTGCATACTACAAGAACGATCCTGTGTAACAAAAATTAACATGGTTTTCAAAATTATAATATTGAATGGAAAATTAACAGCAAATTATTATTTTTACGTTAAACTTTATTTGCGCAAGATGCGTCATCTTCTTGAATAAAATGATGCTTAACACTTTTGTTATACTTATTGTAATTATTTCCTAAAAAATATTCAAGTAAAATAACTCGAGTGCGGTAGACAGACATGGGCCACAGGTTGGAGTGGGCCACCCGAATAACTGTAAGACTAGTGACATGTATGTCGAACTGCATAACTAGTTATCATATTTTGATGCTTGCTCAATTTTAAAAAGTATTTAGAGGTTATACACATGCATTTGCACTGTACAGAGAAACGCACAAAGAATGTCCCTTCGTAAACTTTTAACCGATTTGTCATCACTTTTCACGAGAAAAATTCAAGTACATATGCAATATATTATATAGACATATAATTCTTTGAAATGCAAAGCGATACTTGGCGATTGTTTACATTGTCTTTTTGTGGGATTAATTAATTAATCTATAGTATAAATTCACTTTCGAATCTGATATTAACATTTTATTGGCTAAAATCATCGAATATTTGACCAATGAAAATTTCGTTTGTTTTTAGCTGCTTAGGTGAAAAAGTATCGAAGTTCTTGAAATATACTGATTCTGGTAGTGCGTTTGTTTATTCGGATTTGTTAGTATTCGACAATCCAATTTTTGGTTTTCAGGTATGATATAACTTAATATAGAGATAATGTTGTACACAGATATAATAAATAACTTTTTGTTTCGTGTAATAGGTACTGTCTATAATATATTTTTTCTCATTTACGATAAACATTTTGTTTTACTTGGAAACTCTGCAATGGGTTCTTCTAAAATTGGGTTGGATTTTGCAAACAATAGTTGGAACAACAGTCTGTGAAAGCGTGGTTGCTGCTGCAAATATGTTTATAGGAATGGTAATAAAATATTTTATAATTTTATAAAATAAAAAATAAAAATTATAATATGCTAGCAAAATATTAGATGTTTATAAATTTGAAGTGTATGTTTGTAATACTTAAATAGCCGTTTTATGCTGCCTGCATATGAATGGTAATGGTAAATAGGTTAAATATAACAAATAAACATTTTTTTCACTTGCCGAAGCAGTTTGTGTTTTCGAAAAAAAAACTAGTTTCTAATTTTAAATTTTTGCACCTCGCTTCAAATCATTCGAAATAGAATGAGACTAAATTGCGAAGTGTGTATGCCTATGTGTGTGCGTGTATGTATGAGCCGATTTTTCACCTTTCGTCGACGTTTCCTCGAAAACGTCTGGACCGATTTTAGAAATTTAGCAAAATTAAAGATTAGCTTAACTAATAATTCTTAAAATATTTTTTTAATAAAGATTTAAAAACCTAGAGTATGGCCACGGATAATGTACGCAACACCTCTTCTTGGACATAGTGTTTTATTTGAAAAAAGATTGTTTTATTTTTAGTAATAAAGTTAATATGTTCTTACAGACAGAAGCACCGTTGGTCATAAAACCATATATAGATATTTTGACTAATTCTGAACTTCACTCGATTATTACGTCAGGATTCGCTACAGTTTCAGGTAACAACAAATAGCAAATTTATTAATACTTTATAATAAAAAAAACATTTTAGGTACTGTATTAGCAGCGTACATTAGCTTCGGAGCTGAGCCAGCTCATCTGCTAACATCGAGTGTCATGGCAGCACCCGCTTCATTGGCATTTAGTAAATTATTTTATCCCGAAACAGAAAAATCAAAAACTACTGCTTCAAATATACAAATGGCAAAATCGTAAGATTATAATTTATTATTTATAAACGTAAATAATATACATAATAATATAAAGCAACATTTGAGATCAGTTTTCGAAGCGAAGAACGCATAATATTAATTCGTTTAAATTGACTTGAGTTTATAAATGATCATTTGATAATGCAATATTTATTTTTGCAGAAAATATTGCTTTTACGTTTAATTACTCAATATTTTAAAAAACCTAGGGAGACTGAGTAGCAATAAATCACCATCACTCCATCCACTCCAAGACAAATTGCTGGAACTTCCCGTAACGTAATTAAAAATTCGAGAAATGAGATTCGATTCGATTGTTTTAAATAATTTCAAATAGATTATTTATTATAAATACATACTGTAAATTTATAAGTGCTTATTATATTGGGCGAGTAGCGTATTCTACAAATAACTTATGTGTATGTTTACAAGAAATTTGTTCAATTTTTTTTTAAATTTGATTTTTTTGATAATTTTGAAAATTTTTTAAAAGTTCGAAATTTTTTAGAATCTCTGTAATAAAACGATTGTTTTATATTTATTGATAATTTGAAATTTTTTCAAAATATCCGAATATTTCTTGAATTTTTGTAAGATTTTTTTTTTCATTTTGATATTTTTCGAAATTTAGATTTTTTTGAAAATGATAAAAATTTTCGAAAATTTGAGTTTTTGAAACTTTAATTTTTTTTTGAAAATTCTGAATTTTTTTTCGAAAATTTTCAAAACTACGAAATTTTTTGTGAAACCATTTTTTGCACACCGTCTACACAAACAAAAGGTTTTCGCGATTTCACACGTTGGTCTGTGAATCATATTGGCCACACTAAAGCAGATTGTACAGAATTCTGAATCTTTTTAGTTCAGTACTTTATGCTTTAATTAATCCAAAATTAAGTAGATAAATATTTGATACCCGCGGCGTATTAAACTACTTGTGAGTGATATTTTGCCTTATAACAAGTTGCATGAACTAATAAGAATTCAGAATTAGCAATTTAAAAATTATGACGAGATAATTTTAAAATTCTTACAAGGTCCACTTCTCCAAACTTTGAAATTTTGTAATTAAACAACTTTCGTAAGATCATAATAATTTAGAATGTTCGTTAAGACCATCAACACTAAGAGTTTAATCAAACTCATCGCAAAAAAATTTCAATAACTAATTTCGAAAAACAGCCCGTCCAATCTTCACCAAAAACCAATCAGCACGATTCCCAATTACGGTTTCATAACTTCGCAGAAAAGAAGTTTATGCTTTTGTCAGAAAATTGAAATTGCAATTTATATTTTTTCTCGACGTTTCAAGACTAAATAGTTTGATACCAAATTTGCAAAAAGTATGAGTGTGTGTGGTCCATGTGTGGTCGCATGTAAAACGATTTTTGACCTTTCGTCGCTAATAAGTTTTTCGCAACGCGTCGCGAACGCGTTCGGCCAAGCTGTTTCTTTACAATTGGTAAATAAAGTACAAATACTTTCGTTCAAGTTCTAGTCAAAAATCATGAGCCGATTTCAAAAATTCGAAAATTGTTTAAAAGATATTGGTCAGTTTTTTGAGGACCGAATATACAATTTCAAAAAAGCAATATTTTTAACTGATCTGGTGCACATGAAAGAAATAGATTACTTGATTTGAAATTGTTTTGTGCAATAAGGGCTTATTTCTTGACATAGAGATTATTCTAATTATTTATATTCATTGTGTATGACTTATTTTTACTTTTCATGTCTTATTTAATAATAGTACTGATGCTTCATTATTGGACGCAGCGTGCAATGGTGCAATGCAAGCCACTAGCATCATTTTGGGAGTCATTGCAAATATAATTGCGTTTGTCGCTTTTGTGGCATTTTTAAATGGAACAGTAGGTAAGTCATTTGATATAGATAAAATTTGCATTATATAATTAGTTTAATTATTAAATACCAAGCTTAACAAATTGTTATTTGTTAAAGGTTATCTTGGCACCCTTGTCGGAAATGCCGACTTAACTTTCGAACAAATTTTCGGATACATCTTTATGCCATTGAGCTGGGTTATGGGTAAATACTAATAATTCTCTCTTAATTCAATAATTCTCTGGCAGTGTTAAAAAAGTTTGAAATTAGTCAAAAAACATCGCTTCAATCGATTTGTAAATTTGCAATAGATATTTATAAAGTTATTTCAAAATTGTACAAAATTATTTTTACTAGTTTATTAAATTGTAAAATTATTCATACACAGGAATTCCCTGGAGCGAATGCGAGTACGTGGGTACATTAATAGGATTAAAAACTGTAATAAATGAATTTGCTGCTTATCAGAAATTAGGTGCCTACAAAAAAGCAGGACTCCTTTCAGTAAGATATTACAAGGTTACTCATTATATTTTGAAAATATTCAAAGCTTTTCACAAACTATTGCCATTTATGGAATCTTTATAAATTTTATCGTTATCAATATCGTTATAAATGAATATCATAATAAATTCGAAGTGTAAATAGAGAAATTAATTTTCAATTTATAAATTAAGATCGAAAAATGCAAACAATTATGTTTGTTTGGCGTTTTTTCAAAAGTACACTAATTCGTTGTCACTTGATTAGAGCTTGCATCGATTAGTTTTACGTGACAATCGTCCGGGCCGTTTCTTTAGAATTAGCGCTAAAGTGCAAAATTTTTTGTCCACAAAAATCCTGAACCAAGTTAAACATTCAAAAACAGTTCGAAAGATATTAGTTGGGGATCGTGATTATTAGTTTTTGGTAGAGATTGGGCGGGCCGTTGTTTCATAAATAATTCGTAACACGAAAATTGCTGGAATTTTCTGTACCGTAAATTGAAATTCATTGAAACTTTGGAAGTTTGACAAAATGTTGATTGACGAATGAATATGATCATTTTTAGCCGCTAAACGACGTGTTTTTTTAATTTTTTCTCCGAATCTCCAAAACCGCAGGAATTTATCCGATTTTTTATTCCGTTAATACAAGCAAATAATTTTGACGCGAATCTGCAAAACGGCTGAACCGTTTTGTGCTAATCACTAGTCAATAAGTCTTTGTATCAATACGAATTGAATGTTTTTTGAACAATTGTATCCATGCATACAAATAACATCAATCTTTTCCAAGATATGCCAAAATGTTCAGAAAACTTTGGAACGTAAAGATATACAAAAATTTTCATTTTAGATTTTTTGCGATTACTTTAATTTACCTTAGAGAAGGTTAAAACGGTTAGAAAGACAAAGCCTTTAAAAGTTTACATATGCAACTACTTGAAATAATATCACTGTCTCATTATACACAGGTCCACAAGAAAAAATTGTCTCTATATTGGATGTGCGGCATATGTTTCCAAATGTAGTTTTTGCCGCTGAAAACGAATCTAAACTAGGGGTCAATTAGCAGCAAATTAGAAAACAATGAACAAACGACAAAATCTCTCATCTAGTAATTCTTCTGCATGATGATGAAAATTATATATTTTCGATCGTTTCCTGCCCTTTTTACTTTTAATGACCATTGAGTATTCACTTATCACTTATAAAGATCTATTAATTTTTTTTATAGAATACAGCAGTACCAACACAATTTCAGATATCGAAATTGCAAACGTGGTTTCAGATTACCCAAGGGCAATGGGGAGTGAATATTTTTGCAATTTACTGCTGAATTATACAAAAAACTCAATAGATCATTTAATTGAATCTCAGTTAAGTCATTTAAAGTAAAAATGGCCAAGTCATCTTAGTCATTTAAAGTATAAAGGGCCAAGAAACGACAGAAATTATAAGATTTCAAGTATCATGCAGAAGAATTACTAGATCCGAGTTTTTGTCATTTTTATTTTGTTTTTTTTCCAATTTTTATTGTTAATTGACCCCCAATTTTGAATCTAGATTCGTGTTCAGTGGTAAAAACTATATTGGAAAACATTGCGCACGCCCAATACAGACACATTTTTTGTAGACCTGTGTAATTAATAAACATATGTTTGAAATATTATAAAAAGATTATTATATAAATACTGTAAAATAAGTGCATGCTTATTAAATTGGACGATATTGTTGCTTATAATGATTGTCAGACCTTTCTGATACATTTCTGATAAATGTTCGCCCGAATTATTAGGTTATCATATCACTGTTTATTAACTTCCCGTAGGGTAAGTTATAGTAATCGCAAAAAAATCGAAAATGAAATTTTATATATCTTTACGTTTCAGAGGTTTCTGAATATTTTGGCATACCTTAGAAAAAATGGATGTATGTGTGTGTGTGTGTGTGTGCGTGTATATATGTTTGTGCGGATACAAATTTTCGTCGACGATTTCGGGAACACGGATGAAGCCATTTGAATAATTCAAAAAACATCGATTTGTATTGATAAGGAGACGTGCTGATTAGTTTTTGGCGGAGGCAGGTCTAGCCGTTCTGAAGATATGGGGCAAAAAGTGCCAAACACGGTACCTCAGTTTTTAAGAGAAGGGAGCGTCCGATTTCAATAATTCAAAAAGCATTTTACTTGTATTGACAAGATGAAGAATTGATCAAATTTTCATAAGGGCAGGTCTAGCGGTTTCGGAGATCTAACAAAAAAGTAAAAAAAAGCCATTTGGCGGTCGAAAATGATCATTAGACATATGCACATGAAATTATCATATATTTTATAGAGATTTTAACAATAAGTATAAATTTTGTTTACATTCCTATGGGTTCCGTACCAATGTTTATCAGTTAGACAGCGACGCGGCGCTTACGCGCTTTATATTTTGTCTCTTTGCTTTGAAAAAAAGTTCAGATCTTCCAAAATATGTCAAAATAAAGAAAACATTTTTTTTTTCAAAAAAAAAATTTTTTTTAATTTTTTTTTTTTTTCAAAAAAAAGTAATTTTTTGTCCAATTCATAGTTTCTCAAAAAATCTTATTTTTTCAAAGTAATTTTTTTTTCAAAAATGTTAATCGTTTTTAAAAAAATAATAATTTTTGATACGGGAAGTCCCAGCAATTTGCCTTAAGGCACGATGCCTTAATTATCTCAAGACAGAATTCCACTTACAGCTAGATATTCAAGATATGATTTAAAATTTCGAAATTTATAAATTTCAGCTTTTTTATAAGCTGTCGTTTAGAAGCCATCAAACTCACAAATCCTGAAAAGGATTGAATTTACCAACTTTAAATTTTTGCCACGATTGAACTATAATAACAATGCGTCCCAAGTTTCATCAAAAGCGCAAAATCCGTTTTTGAGAATAAATTCATTTAAATATTGGCATTGAGCGCAAAGCCATCAATCTCGCATATCAATTTTTTTTTCAGTTACTATGTCTTACCTTTTGGTTAGTTTTTAAATAATTACTTCAGCTACTTCGTTCTACCTTCCTACCTTAGTTTACAGTCAGAATTATTACTCAACAGCCACGTAGTGCTGCCATCGCCACTTACTCAGTGTGTGGATTTGCAACCCTGCCTCAATCGGTATCGTAATAGCGGTGTTAGGAGCATTGAGCCCCAAACAGAAGCAAAATATCACAGCAGTCTCATTCAGGGCCTTCATCTCGGGTAATGCTGTGTGCTTCCTAACAGCCAGTATTGCAGGTATAATTATGATTTGTCAATCGAAACAGCAGTAACAACTGAAATGATAGATATTTATTACTAAAATTAGTGTTGTTTCTTTTAATAAAATATGATTAAAGTAAAAAAGCTGATTAAAAACATATTGACAATCATTTTATATAACTCTTCTTATATGAGAATTTTCATATGAGGGCTTGATAGTAAAAATGAATTAGAATGAATAGCAATTCTAGCATTTAATTCATTGATTAAATCGTATCGTAAAGAGCAAATTGTTCTATATTATATATTAAATAAATTTAATTTGACATTAAATATGTTTTAGGTCTTTTGATGGGTGATGATGATCTTCCACAAATGAATACAAGGCACTCTTTTGGCATACTAAATACTTGACGATTCAATTACACTTACACCAACATGCTTATATATATATATATATATATATATATATATATATATATATATATATATACACTCATGGGAGAATATTTTTAAACATTCAAATGCTATTGTACATATTTACAAAAATAGTCTGATTATATAGCATAATGATAAAAAATTATTTATTATATTTATTTAAAAATACTATTGTTTTATTTCATTCATTTGTTTATTTTAATGAAATACAAACTCATTGATATATTTTTATAAAATATATGTATTCTCTTATTTAAAGGGGCAGTAAAATTTATAAATTTTTAAGACACTTAAAGCAAAGAACTTTCTTCTTTATATAGGCTATCATATTATATAAGTCACAATACAGACAATATTATGTTTTTGTAATTTTTTTCAATAAATTCTTAACAAGTCTCTTTATAACATATACATAATTCTACTTCAAATATTTTTTTTTATTTAGAGTGTCACTACTTCATCCATCCAAATAATTTTTGTGCAAATAAGATTTCGATATGTATATATTATAAAACTTAATTTTCTCGTTTCTATAATAACCTTTCTGTTCGTGACTTTTCATATTTTATTATCACAGAGAAAAAAAGCAATTAAATGTACTAACATCTTTTAAAAAATTTCTAAAATCAAAATGCAAAAGTGTCTTTTTGCATTTTTTATAAATTGGAATGATTTGTCATGTCTTTCTTTTTCCATACATCAAATAAAAATTTTATCTATATATTATTGGTTTAAATTAATATTTCATAATATAAAATATATCATAGTGCATAGAAATCTTATATTAAAAACTTCTAGTGTGATTGAACTAAAAAATAATAAATTAATATAAAATGTGAATAAATTAATTTAAAGGAATAACTCATGTGTTTGAGTAACCCAGTTCTAGGGCAAATCATGTAGATCATGATTGGAGTATAAATCATCTGTTCGTTTATAGACATCTGCAGTTACAGACAGCATTTTAGGAAGCACTGTAATAGCTCTTTGTACATCCTCCTCATCGCCACAAACCTAAATGATAATTTAGATAAAAGATTATTTGTTTTAAATATGTCATGTGGTAAAAATATATTCTATTAGGCATTTACAAGAAACACACCTTTTTCAACAATACTTCTCGGGTTGGCATGGTATACATGGCTACATTAGCTCCTTTTTTAATAAGCCATGGATGAAATTTAGCTAACGTATTATTGTAAGCAATTTGGCAAACATGACTAGTCTTTTGACAATTATCCAGTTCACCCAAAGCTTTCAGAAATTCTCTTATAAAATCTAGAACAGCAAAAATAATATGGATTAAATACAGATATAAATATTTAGAACACATAGACCAACAACATGTATTTTGAAATCTTATGTTTAAAAGTAATGTAATGAGAAGTTTGTTATAACTTAAGTCCACATAATGCAAATTCTGAATAATATAATCAATGTTTTCTGTGCAGTCACTCTACTTTAAGTACACATTCCGGCGCAGTGAATTCGACAGAATCAGATTTAAGTTTGGCTCAGAAGGCTCATTGTTTTTATACTTTCATTAAATTATTTTTTCTATAATGCTGGATGTGTGTTTTATTAATAAATATAATACTCTTATAGTATAGCAGAATATTCATAGGTGTATATATAAAATATGTTGATGGCACAAACTCTACATTTTTGCAAACAATACAATTAAATTGAATTTAAATATAAATTAGATCAATAGTATTACAAATTTGCGAATACAGTATAGCAAAATATAGATATATGTATGTGTGCTCAAAATATTTGCAGCACAATTTCATTTTTCAAATAATAAAATTGTTTATGTAAAGATAATTATCAGATTTTGTTGGAATTTTCAAACAACATAAGTAATTATCACATTGAAAACACAGTGCTTTTTAACATTTTGTATATAAAAAAGCGCCTGGCGCACTATCAAGTTATCCAAAGTTCAACTAATGTAGATGTATACCTGGTAAATGTAAAATAAAAAGACTACTAAAACATTCCATAGCTTGCTGAATAGTTAATTAGAGATAATATACCTAAGCCTCTATGCAATCATAATATTCTGCTGTCAGAAAAATACACATCTTTATCTAATATATCATTATTTCTTACATATTCCATCATTACTTAACATTTTGATGTCAAAAAGCATCTGGTGCAGTGTACTTTTTAAAACAAGCTCCAACTGTCAAACTTTGCAAAGTTCAAATACAAACTAATGTGGACATGTACCTAGTAAATGTAAAATAACAATGCTACTGAACTCTCTACTGCATGCTAAATGGTTGACCCTGTATCTGTCAGATAGACTGGGCCCGACAAAGGATTAAAAGAAAAGTTATACCTACATCGTGAAAGTTGTTTCATAATATAAATAACATACCTAAGCCTCTATGCAATCGCAGTAACGTTCTGCTGCCAGAAGTGTACTCTTCTTTATCTAATAAATCATTATTTTTTTCATATTCTATCATCGACTTAAACGTTTGGAAATTTTTTCCATTATTAGGATCATTTAGCAGACTTTCCAAAATATCTACCTTGGATTTTACGTCACTACTCACAAAACCAAACACTGTTCCCATGAGTTGGAAAAATCTAAAATATAATTAATATAAATACAATAAATA